AAGAAGAACATATACCATTTCAGATAAGTGACTGTGCAATCTCTTCTTAAAAAAACCTTCTGGGCAGTGAAAACCTGGATGTGGAGTCCCCCAAAAGAAGGTTAGATACGATCGAGAGGGATGCAATGGAGTATCAGAGAGTGGGCACCAACAGGTGGCTGCCACACACAAAAAAAAACCTTCCATGCCTTTCTTGCAGCGGTGTCCTGTTGCCAAATCTTTTAATTTTGACATCTTCGAGACTTGGCTTTCTCCGACCTCTTTATAAACATTGGCCAGCCATGCCCCTTTATCCTCTCCGCCAGCAGGGCCATGCTAGGGGGTGCATTATGGGACCTGTGGTTCCATAGAGCCTCTCGTCCGTCCGTACGGTGCGAGTTCCAAATCCTTTAGTGATTTATTTGCAGATTTAACCAGGTGGCGAAATGCCTTTGCCTAATCAAGCTAAAGACAACCCTAAGTGCAAAAAAATAAAAATAAAAAATAAGCTTACTTCTAATCATCATCTGTTTGCTTGCTGACTTCCTGTAACCCATGGCTTCTTTATTATTCATTTATTTAGCGTACGACCCCTTACAGCGATCGTGCAATCACTGGTAGACAAATGAAGTTTCAATAAAGCGTCAGCAAATATCTATATATTAATTATATAAATATATATATTAAATATATATATTTGCTGTCAACAACGGGCATAAGTGTGAAAAATGGCCCTAAGTCGCTTTTTTTCAGTGCCATTATAACGCCCGGCGGTCATTCAACAAACTTTTGTAAGTTTGAGAATTCCCCGTAATTTTGGAATGAATTTATTTGGAACAAAACGGCAGAGTCTGGTAAACGGCGGGAATCCTGGTTATTTCGGCCTCAACGGGAACTGTGTTGGAGCCAAAAGCTTGTTAGCTTTGACGGTGTCCCAAATCAGTCTCTTTTTCTTTTTTTTTTGGCATCTCTCCTCCCGTATCCTTGCACCATTCTCTCATTCATCTCCCTCTCCGTCTTTCTCTCTCTCTCTTCCCTCCTCCGCCTCCTTCCCTGATTTTACCCTTGACTTGCACTCAGTCTCTCTTGTGCCCCCGGATTCTTCTCAGCAGCTTGCCTGTTCGTCCCCACCCCACTTTCAGATTCTTGTCCTTCTCCCTGTCCGATGTTCCTCTGCTCCGCGGGACACGCTTGTGTCTTCTCCGCCTTCGGGACTTTGCCCTGGTAGTCTGCGGCCAGTCCGCCAAGCGCTCGTGCAGCCATGGTTGTGACGTGGCGCGCCGCCCTCTCTCCTCTCCCGTTGCAGCCCCGGAGGCTCCCGTGATCGACACACAGAGGACCTACGCCTACGACCAGATCTTCCTCTGCTGGCGCCTGCCGCAGCATTCCCCCGCCGCCTGGCACTACACGGTGGAGTTCCGGCGGGCTGAGCCCAAGGGCAAGGCCCTCAAACTGTGGCAGCGGCGGGAGGAAGTCCGAGGCACCAGCGCCATCGTGGAGTACGTGGACACGGATAGCGTGTACGTGCTGCGCGTCCGAGGGTACAACAAAGCTGGCTTCGGGGACTACAGCGAGGATATCTACCTCCGTACGCCGCCGGCACCCGGTAAACCTTTCTCTTGTCCTCCTCACTACTGACCCACGTCGCTTTTTTTCCCCGGGCTGTTGTAACTTTGACCGGTCACGCAACGAAGGGTTTGTAAGCAGGGGTGGGGATTCTACCGGTTCAGACCGGTTCTATAGAACCGGTTGTTACGATTCTGCGCCGTTTGGAGAACTGGCAAATCGCGCCACTGGCTGGCCCTTCCCTGCCTCGCCCGCTGGATTTATCAAGGGAAGGCTCTGCAGCCTTGGGAGGCCGAAAAATGGGCCTTCCGGAAATACCGGAAGTGCCCATTTTCAGCCCCCGGAGGGCCTCTACAGCCTCAGGAGGCTGAAAACGGGCCCGTTTTGGGCACTTCCGGTATTTCCGGAAGGCCTTCAGTGGCTTCCCTTGAGCCTCCGGGAGGGCGAAAATGGCCTCAAATGGGCCAAAAATCACTGCATGCGCAGTGCAGGTAAGTTTGGCTGGGGCTCGCGTGCCTGCACAAATGGCTCTGCGTGACACCTGTGGCACGCCTGCCATAGATTCGCCATCCTGGCTTTAGGCTCTTCCTAATTCTCGCAGCTCCTGTGCTCCTATGCTTTAGGCCCATGATGGCGAACCTATGGCATGCGTACCACAGGTGGCACACCGAGCCATTTGTGCCGCCACGCAAGTGCAGGCAAACTTACCTCACTGCGCATGCGCGCGCCTCTTCTGATTTTCAGCCGGTTTGAGGCCTTTTTCGGCCTCCCTAAAGGCTTGAGGGAGGTTTCTGCAGGCTGAAAACTAGGCCCGTTTCATCACTTCCTGTTTTTCCGGAAATACCGGAAGTGATGAAACGGGCCTAGTTTTTGGCCTGCAGAAGCCTGCAGAAGCCTTTGGAAGGCCGAAAAAGGCCTCAAACCGGCTGAAAATCAGCTGTGAGGTGCAGTGCAGTTAAGGGGGCGGCGTGGGTGTTTGGGTGGGTGGATGGTGATTACGCGCGCATGCGTAGGGGTCATGGGGGGTTAGCCACCACCGCTTTAGGCTCTTCCTAATTCTTCGTCCCTTGCTTTTTTTCGTCCCATTTCCCCCTTTCCTCCCCAAAGTGCTGAATTTCTTTCTGGACAACCGGTGGGGTTTCAACCGAGAACGCCTGGCCATCAGCAAGGACCAGCGAGCCGTCCGCAGCGTCCCCGGTCTTCCCATGCTGTTTGCCGCCGAGCGTTTGATGACCAGCTGCCACCTCTCCATTGACCTGGTGATCGGCGACGTGGCGGTGACTCAAGGGCGCAGCTACTGGGCCTGTTGCGTGGACCCCAGTTCCTATCTGGTCAAGGTGGGCGTAGGGCTGGAGAGCAAGCTACAGGAATGGTTCCAGGTGCCCCAAGATGTGACGAGCCCCAGGTGAGCAAATAATTCAGAAAGGCAGAGACGGAATTAAGTTCGGAACTTGTTCAATCGCATCTCCGAAGATCTAGGTCGTAAAACAGGAGGGAAAGCTCCCTCAACAGCACTGAGCAACGGAAATGGGATGGTCTCAATTGTGATGGCCAGTCAAGGGCTACCTAGCTGTACATTGGTTTATTCTTGTCGGCTGTGGGGTTGGATTAGATGACCTAGCTAACCCCCAAGAAGATAGGCTCAAGATCCAGATGGATCTTGGCAGACCGGAACCCTGGACCGTATCTAATAAATGAAATTCAGTGTAGAGAAAAGTAAAATTTTACACTTAGGCAAGAAAAACCAAAAGGACACATATAGACTGGGGTGAAACCAGGCTTAATAGCAGGAACTGGGAGAGGGATCTTGGCGTCTTAGTGGACAACCAGCTAAATAGGAGCCAGCCAAAAAAGCCAAGGCAATCCTAAATTGCATTAACAGAGGGATACAATCGAGGTCAAGGGAGGTACTAATACCACTCTATAAAGCCTTAGTAAGGCCACACCTCGAGTCCTGCATCCAGTTTTGGTCACCACACTGTAAAAAAAAAAAAGATGTTGAGGCTCTAGAAAAAGTGCAGAGAAGAGCAACCAGGAGGATGAGGGGACTGGAGGCTCAAACATACGACGGACGGTTGCAGGAACTGGGCCTGGCTAGTCTAGGGAAGAGAAGGACTAGGGGAGACAGGAGAGCATCTTCCAGTATTTGAGGGGCTGCCCCAGAGAGGAGGAAGGGGGTTCAAGCTATTCTCCAAAGCACTTGAAGGCCAGAGAAGGAATAATGGATGGAAACTGATCCAGGAGAGATTCAACCTGGAAATAAGGAGGAATTTTCTGACAGGGAGAACCATCAACCCGTGGAACAGAAGTTGCCCTCGGAAGTTGTGGGAGCTTCGTCACTGGCGGCTTTCAAGAAGAGATCGGACCGCCATTTGTCAGAAATAGTGTAGGGTCTCCTGCTTGGGCAGGGGGTGGGACTAGATGACCTATAAGGTCCCTTCCAACTCTGTCAATCGGTTATCTGTGAAAATTCACGAACGGATAATGGACATTTTGCTTTTTCCTTCCAAGAATCGGTATTCTACCCTGTAATCAAGCGTTTGTTTGTTTGTTTGTTTGTTTGTTCCCTGGATCAGGTACGACCCGGATAGCGGGCACGACAGCGGCGCTGAGGATACCACATTGGAGTCCTCGCCGCCCTTCGCCTTCCTGACCATCGGCATGGGCAAAATCCTCCTTTCCCACGGTGTCTCGCTCACCTCGCGGGACGCTGGCAATGCCACCGTGCCCTTGCCGCCCCGCGTCGGCATCTGCCTCGACTACGAGCACAGCAAAGTGACGTTCTTCGACGCCGTCTCCTTCCGCAGCCTTTGGGAGTGCGGGGTAGACTGCTCGGGCCCCGTCTGCCCAGCCTTCTGCTTCATCGGCGGCGGCGCCTTGCACCTTCAAGAGCTGGTGGTCGGCCGTCAGGAACGGAAAGTCACCATCAGCGGCTTCTCCAAGCTGGACTGAATTTGCCGTCGGCTGATTCCAAGCGTGTTCGGGGAAGAGAACCAACCAGCAGATGGGATTTGGGGGGGGGGGGGCCTTGGGGGGTGGTGGGGGTTGTTTCTCCAGCCTCTGCTTGCAACAAAAATGAGGAAAATATCTCTAGGTATAGAATAAACGAAGAGAGGATTTCAGCGGTAGGAACAGGGCAGAGCTTATAGTTGAGCAATGCTGCCCTCTAGTGCACTCCCAACAGATAGACCTTTTAAAATTCAGATGGTGGCACTACCCTCTTCCTGGCCAATCCCTCCTCCATCAAAATTGACCATCCCAGCTGTGGGGACTGAAAGCAGCTTTCCTTCCCCCACAGCCGCCCCTCAAAGGGGGATTTTTAAAATTATCCAGTGTCTTTTCTCTGTTTTCTTCTCATCTTCTTCATCGCACCCCCTTAAATTTCCGGGGTGTGTGTGGAAATCCAGATTTTTCCCACCCTTTCGCCTGTCTGGGGCAAGAATCTCAGTTGAGAAGAGACAAACATGCCCCCTTCCCCCCCCCCCCAAAAAAAAACACCTTTGTTTGGAGCATGGCTGAGTTTGGAATGGCTTCTAATGCCTTTCTCCCCACGTTTTGTGTTGAAAACGATTTAAAAAAAAATTGCAAAAACGGCATCTCGAAACCATCCTCCCTTCAACCTCTGTCTCTTTACCCATTAGGACAATCTGTCCCTGCTTGTACTTCTGATATAATCATTTTAAATTAATCTCTCTTTTTATTTCATTTTTAAATTCCTTGTCACGCTCCTGTGAATCGCTCCGTAACTCGTTTCCTAATTTTTGGCCAACTTCCTTTTCCCCCCCCCACCCTTTGGCTGTTAAAACAGGCCGGTTGTGATTAATTGTATCCTGTCTCACAAACCAAGAGCAGCTGGGAAGATAACCATGTTTTAAAATTTTTCCCTAGCGTTTCCTCGCCAGAGTTTTGCTTCTCTCCGGATCGATCGAACATCGATCCCCGGTGAGAAGTTATCGCCGAAACTCGCAAATGATGTCCAAATGGATTTTAAGTTTTGCTTCTGAAATTTCTCAGCTGAAAACGGGGCGTGAATTTCCCTTAATTCCCCTAACCAGGAATCAAAATGACCCCCCCCTTTTTTTTCTTTCTTAAAAAACAATGCTAATTTGTCATTCCTAATAGTTTCCTTCTTGTAAAACTAAACACAACCAAGTCTTTGTTGTGTGTCACTTCTTGGTTTCTTCTACGCCAAAGCTGGTTTGACATCCTGAATTTCAGGTTTAGCTCGGGGTGCGTTTGATCTTCCACCGTAACGAAAGCAGGAGGGGGGAGTAAAAATTGCCTTTTATTTTTTATTTTTTATTTGCAAAACAAGGATTTCCCCGTGGATGTTTTCTCGTCTCTTGCTGTTCCTTGATGTAAAAAACAAAACAAAAAAAACAAAACCAACCCTAATGAAAAATTGCCGTCTTTCTGCCCTGCTCGGAAATTGTTCCTGAACTATTCTGCTGCAGATAGTCTTCGGTTTACGACAGTTCTTTTCAAGATAACGACGGGTCTGGGGAAAAAAAAAAAAGGTGGATTTTTGCAACCATGGCATTGTTCCCCGGCTACGACGACTTGATTGACAAATTTGTGCGCTTGGCCAATCCGCACGAATCGATGACGGTTGCTATTCCCCCACCTCCTGCAATTGGGCCAATGGCGACCGTACCTCGTTTGGCTTCCAATAACCCACCTCTCCACGAGGAATTCGCTTAATGGCCGCGGTGATTCGGCAGAACGACCTGGCACCAAAAGGAAAAAAAAAAAGGAAAGAAAGAAAGATGCCACTTGTTTAACGACCAGGATGGAAATCCCAGTTGGCATTACGGTCATATGTCCAATCGCTAGCTGGGATTTTTCCCAGGCTGAACTGAAGTTCAACAGGTGCAGAGCATGGTGAAAAATGCACAGGAGAGGTGATTTGGTTTTAGTTTCTGAAAACGGGACTGTTTTGTAAGTATTGAGGTGTTTGTGAAAATATGGTGCCTGGTAGAATATATTACCTAAATTACCCTTGTTTTTATCAAACTTCCTTCTTGGGGCCTGGATTATTATTATTATTATTATTATTATTATTATTATTATTATTATTATTATTATTATTATTATTATTTTATTCTGTCTTCTTCCCAGCCGTGCTGGATTGTGCTGTCGGTGTTGTTGCAGAATTTGTGGTTGCAAAAAGAAAAGGGGGTACGGGAGGCGCCACGAAGCTGGCGTGAATCCCCCCCCCGGGGGGGGGGGGGCGGCGGGGATCGGGGACATCACCCAAGTGATCTTTCTCTGGTCCCCAGGCAGGGTTTGTTTGTTTTTTGTTGTTGTTGGTTTGTTTTGGCGAGGAAAGCGAGCAAACCAGCATCCATCCAAGCACAGGTGGCGAGTTCGAAAACCCAACAACATCGTGGCAATCGCTGTGCGTTGCCACAGAAAAGAGCCTTGGGGGGACTATCAGTCCATCCACACACACAGCCCTAATGTTGGGGTTTTTTTAAAAAAACAAAACAAAAAAATTAGGACTCCTCCTCCACCCTGAGGACTAGAATCTTGCTTCTTAAGGAGAGAACCGCACCATCCCAATCATAGAGCCGGCTCGCAACCTAGGTTGAAAATGGACCTTGCGATGGATAAGAGAGAGTTTGATGGGGTAGACACCTTGCTACGTTCCTCCTCCTCCTCCTCCTCTTTATTTTTTTTCTTCCCCCCCCATTTCTTTGGCCAGATTGTTAACTTAAAAATAAACACAATGAATAAAGTTTGAATTGTTGGCTGTGGTTGAAGTTTTTAAAAGGCTTTGAACGGAGCTGTCGTTCTAATCTGAGCCTGCAGAGGGTGACGTGACCCTAAGATTCTACAGAATAAATTCTCTTTTTTTTTTCCCCCAGGGAAAGTTTTGGTTTTCTGGGATCATGGAGGCACCTTGTGTCTTCCCATTCTTGGTTAAAGCAGTTTGTTGCTGTTGCATGGCCCTGCAAAGCTGCATTAGCTCCCTCCGGGGACTTGTAGTCCATCTAAACTTAGTTACCGTTGTGTCGCTGATGTTCCCGTGGGTAATGTCTGTCTGTAATAGAAATTAACAAGGGGAAATGTCCTTTGTTCACTGGGAGGGGGAAATAGCTGGAAACAGCTGGGTTTGGAGAAGGGAGGAACAAACCACTGGCAGCTGAAGTCCTGGGAATTATTAAATTCACACATCGGAGTCCTTCGTTCGTTCAAATACCTTTAGATTGACTCCAACTCCCAGTATTCCCCTGCCAACAGATGGACTTCAACTCCCAGAATTCCCCTGCCAACATAGATGGACTCCAACTCCCAGAATTCCCCCGCCAACAT